GTGCGTGCTGTGTTGTGTGTGTGTGTTGTCTGTGTGTTGGTGTTGTGTGTGTGGTGTGTGTGTTGTTGTTTGGTGTGGTGTGGTGGTGTGTGTGTTGTGTGTGGTGTGTTTGGTGTGTTGTGGGTGTGTGTGTCGTGTGTTTTGTGTTGTGTGTGTGGTGTGGTGTGTGTGTGTGTGTGGGTGTGTGTGTTGTGTGTGGTGTGTGTGGTGTTGGGGGTGGTGTGTGTGTGTGGCACCTCCTACCAGCTCCTCGTCTCGGGTCCTATGCCCCGGAACACTGCTACATCGCACGTCGAGCTCGCACCACTACTCGAGCCAATTCAACTCGCGGTGTCAAAGTAGAGAGTGCAGGGGGGACGGACCTGTCTCACCTTTAGTCTCATTTTTGTGCAGTGTGTGTTGAAGGTTAATCTGTCTGTCGAGCGTGTTCATAAACCCAGTGATTTAGAGGAAGGTCGTGTTTACTGGAGTGTACCCTCTTCCGAAGTTATGTCAAGTACCGTAAATGGCTATATTTTTAACTCGCAAAAAAATTGTGCAATGGGAAGGACGTGCGAGAGCAAACCTCTTATTTCCAGTTCCATTCGCATTCGATTAGTATCACCTAACGTAAAATAAGGGAAAGGTCGTGTTTTATTTTTCATCCTTACCTTGTTTATCTCTCCTGATCAGTCCCTACAAGTCCTATCAGCCCTGGTCTTACACAATTTTCAAACGTGGTTCTCAAGTTGAAAAATCAAACTTTTTACATTTACTTCAAGAATTACGTGTGTTTCGAAAGGTGTACACCGGAGAATGGCCATCGCTGTCCACGGTTTGTGCGGCCTGACAGTTTTAACTAGGTTTACATTTTTGGTGTTTACAACGGTTTTGCGAACGGTTTACTTTTTTAGAAGTTGTGTTAAGTGTTGTGTAATCGTCATAAATCCTTTATAACTGGGTTTAAATTGTTTTGTACGCCCGTCGCAAAAGCATTAGCGACGTTTATTTTTTTGGCCGACGTTCTTCGAGTTTTGGTGTTACCCATTTGGTCCTCTGGTGATTATATTCCTCTCCAACAACTGCAAGCCACAATCTGTAACCGTTTCAAAGTATTAACATTTCACAAAAAAGTCATATGACCTTTACTGCTCCAATCGATGCAATCGATTCGATTCGAATGTCAACTTAAGACGGTTATTAATACCCTTCCTTAGTACGCTAGTGAAACAATTTTATTCGGTTATGTAAAAAAATCAATTCAAGAGTAACTGTCAAACCTGGTTGACAATATTAGCTTGCGGTTTGTTCGTGAGGTTCAGGGTCGACAGACGTAGTGAGAATCATAGGGGCAAAGATAACACGAAACTCAAAGACGTTCTCAAGAAGTAAAACAAAAATACGTCGCGAAAATCATTTGATACCGAATACTATAGCGGTTCAACCACTTACAAGAGATTTACGCACACCGGGTACTTACAAACACTTAACGAACACAAAACCGTGTAAACACAAAAAATCAAACGTAACAAAAATTTTACTGTTGTGAAAAAGGATTACCTTTGACAAAACCCGCAACAATTGCGTATACGTACACAGCCGGGGGACAACCCGGGAGACCATAGAATCGTGTAATTATTACTGTTGAATTTTTGTCCACATTTCACTCCTGGGGTCAAGCTCTCCTCGTCCACCCTCCGAGTCCACACAAATCAATGGGACCACTCCGTACCGTCCTACCGACAGTTACACGGTCGCGACCTCCCCCCCGTATGGACTGTGCTCTGTCTCTGTGTGTGGTAAGTCACCACTGTCACCCTCAGTGTGTGTGTGTGTATAGGTAGGACCGTTCAGGTATGTGTTCACGCACATGTTACTTTTTCATCTACTGTAACTAACGGTGAATTTTCTTGTGCGTGCGTGCGTACTCAAAGTGATCCTAGTCGTCAACATCTATAACATGTGTCCCTGGGTTGCTCCATGTTGATTCTTTATCAAACAATAAGATAAAATATGATTCAAATAGAGCTTTGATTCTCTGCCCTAACCCAATCGGACCCAACCCAGGTCAGTTTTTGCTTACATTGCCCCTGGGATTAACAGTCAGGTTAACACGCATTTCCCTGGTGTTTATTTATACATTAAAATACAAACCTTTTATAGTGTGTGATATGATAGAAACTATGTGGGTTCATGCAGAGTTCTAATTGTATGTGACTTATCACAGCTGTATGTATATATATATCCTTTATTTAACCAGGTAAAAAGTCTCATTGAGATTAAAATCTCTTTTTCAAGAGCGACCTGGCCAAGAAGGGCAGCATGAACAATGTTACTACGGATAAAACACAGACAATACAGGCAGACGAATACAGCGGTCGTAAAATTACATTGATCTTAGGAAAACTATTACATTTCAAGTAGAAGAAAGCAAAAATAAAACAAAACAGACAAACAAAATGTAATGTTGGAATCAAATCAAGTTTTATGGCTTTTCAGATAAATTTAAAAAGTGAAAGAAAATGTTAAAGAGAAAAGAAAAGGCTGTGACTGGTGTGTTTCTGTGGCAGTGAGAACAGCTTTGCTTTCATTTAAAAAATGTGACGCTACCAGGTTTATTTTTGGAAGTCAGATGATAAGAAGCCCTGTTCTCATCTGCAGTGTGGCGCAGTCTCCCATCATCCAGCACATTAACTTCCAGCGTATTCAGGCAGAAGTGGTTAATGTCTCAGGTCTAAGATTAGACCTGAGTGTGGGTGTAATGTGGGTACGCAGTTGTGTGAGTGTAACATTTGTGTGTGTGTAGCAATCCCTGGTGCAGGTGGCGTGCTGGTGTATAGGAGAGTACGGAGACCTGCTGCTGAGAGGAGAGTGTCAGGAGACTGAGCCTGTGCAGGTACATGCAGCACCAACACTGAAAGAATATTATCAGTAGGGATTCAACCTATTTCTAGATCTTTAAAGGTTTTATATTTTCTGTTCCTGTCACTACTGTGGCCGACAGGTGCAGTTTTAAAAACGATGCTAATATAAAAACACAAATCTGCCAAAACACAAGCAAATGAAGAAACATCTTCACCATGTGCAGCGATTACTGTAAGGCTCAAAACACAACAAAAAGTGACGAACATAACTGGGACCGGAGTGCTTGTTGATGTTCGGTGAATAAAGAGTCATCACTGTCACTGGAGACTTCAAATAAACGTTTTATAGGCTTCTTTTAACAATGTGATTGCATGATTCCTTACTCCAAATCTGCTGTCAGCTAGCTAGTTAACCTAGCAAACCAATACATTTGAAATATACTTACAAAACACTTGCAACTATGAAACATACTAACTCTGCCAACTGTGACAGTTGGCCAACTTCATACTCCCTGAACGTCAAAAAGCACTGTTTACATTAAGAATATGTGTGAGGAACGCACTGAAGCAGTCTGCAGGAACTAATATATAAAATAATTGTACAGAACCCAATGCTTAAGTTCAAAGAAAGCATTTTTAATGAATTCTCAGGTACTGTTAGTGCTCAAAACTATGTATTTTCTTTTTAAATTATTCAGTTAATGTATTGGATTATCAGCTCAATAAATGCTAGAGGTCAGAATGTGTCATATCTAAGGCCTCGGCCCCACGAGGACGAAAACGGTCGTTTGCGTTACTGTTTAGTGTCATATAGACCGTTCGGCCACACGAGGATGACCGAATATGACAGTAAACAACTGCGGAAACGATAACGGGTCCCAAGGTGGATAGAACGGCATACGCAACGCTCTGGGGGGTCCGACGGCTCCGTGTGTGCGCCCTATACGATCATTTTCTGATAATGATGACGCAATAGCCCCGCCTCCCCCCACCTCTGCTGCTCACCCCCGCGTCAAAGTAAACTGCACACTGAATTCAGATTATTTATCTTTCTCTCGATATGGACATAAACGCGAGTGAAGTCTAATCTGACAGAACGGAGACACGCAGCTCTGCTCACCTGCAGCTCCTCCCGCTGTCATGCAGCGGTGAACGGAGCAAAAACACACACTTCAAGTCAGATCATCGCCCTTAGCTATTTTAATTACCTCTCAAACTACCTTTATTTTTACTGTCGGCCGGGTCACTCATTACTGGATCAGCTGCTGCTTGAGACAGACACTGACGCTGTCCGAAGAGAAGGAGGAAAAAGAGAGGCTCCATGTATTATTATATAGATTCGTTATTCATTTGTTTTAAAGCTCAATAAATAACAAAGAAGACCTTTGACTGGCACTTTTATTATTTTGACTTTAATAACTTTAATACACGTTGACTGGCGAAAAACTCTGCCCGGTTCCCTCGGCCCCCACCGCGGAGAATAAACAGAAGGGCAACCATGACAACCATGCTTCTTCGTTGCTTTGTGGAGGAAGTTACAGCGCCACGTAGAGGCTCCTGCATATGTACTGCAGCTTCTCCAGTGGTTGGAGCTAAACGGAGCTGTCTTGTGTGGACAGACACTATCTGGTGAATATTGCGTGTGGACGGAAGCTTTCTTGGATCGCACCATAGTCCTAACAAATATTTTCTTAGAAAGGCAGGAAAAGGGATTCAAATCGAGAACTATTTCCATGCCGGAGGGCCGACAGACCCCCTGTTTTGTGTGTCCCCCACTTCTCAAACCAAAGTAATTTCCCCCCTCTCCTGCACGGATCTTCATCATACCGCCCTGGCAGCACTCCCCCAAAGCAGTAAACCTAGGGGAAACACTGTAAACCATTTGTTTAAAATGTCAGTTTGAAGATGTGGGAACTGTGTATCAACAATATGTTTACTTCTGAGGAGTTGAGCCTCATGCAGTCACTGATGTGTGATTTAACCAGTTTGTTGGCTAGACTACTGATACCAAGGTCACATGTGGGTCCCTCCTTCAGTCACTAGATGTATATGTTTGGTTGAGGATCAAACGTAAAGACTAGGAGCTTAACACCTAATGGATCAAAAGCATAATATATGGATTTAATTCTTCCATGGAAGCCCCTGAGGCAATTCATAGAAAATAGTGTTGGACTTAAATCAACATTATGTTATTGTTTCACCTCAAATTTAAACAAGTTTATACTGACTTGTAATAGGGAGAATTGTGTCTCTATAAGTCCCAGTCTGCACCCAGAACTGCTATTTTGCAGTAGGTAACTTTGTGGAGTGGGTCATAAAATATCTTGGGATACGTGTATAAGGCTCGAGTTAATTTTTGTAAAACTGGATCAGATTTTCTGGAGCAAATGCCTTCGGTTTTCATTCTGATCCCCTCTGCTCTGCCTCAAGTGTGTGTGATTTACAAAGTTTCCTGATGGACAGAAAGGGGTACTTTTTTCTGAGGTAAAGCTGCATTCACAAGAAAAGCAGTTAAACATGACGGTGCCGTTCTGCTGCCCGACGAGGCGGAGGCGCATTCCTCTGCGTCGCTCAGTTTAAATTATTTCAATTTCAACCTAGTTTACCGCTTACCTTTTGAAGCACAACCCATCAACTGTATGTAATGGCGAGAGCTAGCAGGGTACGTTACCATAGAAACTTAACTAGGTGTTTTCACCGCAAGGTTGGGCGCAGAGCCTTGAGGTCAAAACAATCATGAGTATCACAGTATATCATGTGGATGCAGCTCAAGAATAATTGTGAGCCAACAGCAGGAGCCATCAGCTAGTTAGTTGTTAGCTTAGTTTTCAAGGAAGGTAAGGACTGGCAGTTGTGAGCACCAGGGGAGTGTTGTTGTTAACACAGCAGTTACACAGGTACTTTGGAGTGCTCATAACAAATGTATGTGTAACAACAGCAGTGTTTGCGCTACTTCACAAAAATACCAAATATCAAAAACGACATAATGATGCTTTTACTTGTTAGACAGTACGTTTCACAGAATGTCTGGGAAGCATACAAACCACCAAGTGTCAGCCATGCAGATCAGGCACAGACGCATCATTAAAAACCAGTAGGTGCACTCTAAACCTTGCACGCAGGCAGTGCCACCATGGGCTGGGAAATGAGCCGCAGCATGAGCAAGCTCTCCGAGGAGAAACTGGAGCCCACACAAACCGGATGTGCCAGCACCAGCCCAGTCAGCCTGCATGCAAAGGAAAGGAGAACCAAAAAAAGGCGATACATACACTAGGGACAGGGATGACCTCGACCTGGTCACACTACAACACAGGAGAGATAGACACACACACATATATAAAAAAACAGGATGAGGGGTAGAAAGTAGAACTAAAAAGAAGAAGGTTCCACCAAGAAAAAACCAATAGCATGTGTTCAGTGGAGGGGTGGCCTACCTTGGGAGGCGATCCATTCTCCTCAACAGGTGGAGGCAGGGAGCTGGTGTTGCTGTTGTTGGTGGCTGGGGGGTCCACATTGTAGTTGCGGAAGCAGCAGAAGAATGTGCTGAAGATGCTCCGGCTCCTCTGTTTCTTTAGGCTGCTGTTCGACTGGGACGCTGTCAAAACAACAGGAGGGAGTGGGAGAGCGGAGGGTGAGTGAGTGGATATGCAAATGATCCTTTCTGGGATAAAAGTTGAGCAGGATGAAGTTGGGAACAATTTGGTTATTTGCATGCCGAGTACGGCTGAATCTAATGAGTAATTATCGATTCATCCATCGAGATTATCTAGGCTAATTGTTTGGTCAAATAGTCAAAAAATGTCATCTCAGATTCTCAAAAACCACACAGAGTCTTGATTTGTCAGTTCAAACCCAAAATATATTTAATTTAATATGATATAAAACAGAAAAACTGGAAAATCCCCGTATGTGGGAGTCTGACAACAGCATTTTCTGCAATTTTTGCGTTACAAAAACAATTATTCTTCTGTCGATGGACTCATTGTCGGAGCCCTGGATGCTGCGGTATAACTGTGTACAAACTGCTGTATGGTCAGTACAATCTTCCTAAGTGTCCACGGTGCTGTGCCCTACACTAAATCCCAACAATAAGCCATGACAGTGTGATTAAATGTCATCAGTGTTGTTTTTGTTGACCCGGCCTGGCAGAACCAGAGATCAGAAAATAACTTTGCTGTCCGGCTGACTTTATCAGTCACACGTAGCGACAGTGAGGAGCAAATTGCCTTTCATTGCTGGACTGCCAAATCAGACACCAAACTTTTATTAATAGTGACAAGTTGGAAGCTGTGTGCTTCTCCCTCCTCCTTTTCGCCCTGCCGCGGATCCCATCACCTGATTGGCCCAGGGGATGTCCATTTAAAAAAAGCTTGCTTACATTACTCCACCATGTTTCGGCTGGCAGGTGAGTGACTGAAGCAGCCTGGACATGAACAAGAGACGAGGGGGGGGGGAGAGGCCCCTCAGACCCTGCAGAGCCTATACAAGGCTACATTCCTCTCTACCCATTAGTCCCCCCCCCCCTATCATACACGCTCACACCAACAGAATGCTTTTGCAACTGAAGACCAGCTACGAGCAAATAGCACTATGTCATGTCTTCTGGCATCTTGATGTGGTGCCACTTTGTGCTGCTGACCTTAAAACCAACACCCAACAGACATGATCAAAGGAAAAACTAAAGAAAATACATCAAATGGAGAGTATACAATGAAATAAGAAGGACTACACACTTCAAACAGCCTGTGATCCAATCCAACAATCTATTCCCACATGTCTTGCTATCTTTCAGCAAAAAAGGCAGCCAGAGCGTCACGTAACTTCATGGAGATACCACACTGTAGTTTTGAGAAGATTACATCCATTCTATATACTCTAAACTAAGCCACAAATACTCATCAGCTCAGGAAAGCTAACAGACACTGACTGAGTAACATCCTCTAATTTCCATCCATCACTGGTATAATCACATTAATTATGCTGCTGTGTATTGAGACTATATCTCCTTAGCGACACAAGCCGCTTCATCCCAAGACAGATGAAGTGCATCCATCGACAAATAACAACATTAAGTGACTATTTTAAG